GGACATCAGTAGTACTGCAATTAGTACCATACAGCGATGGAAATCATGTGACTTCATTAACTAACTACATTACTGCGGAGTGGAAGCATAACTCATATACACACACATAGTCCTGCCCATTAAGAGCTTGGTCGTAACAAAGTAATTGCAACACCATTAACTTTCATTTCTTCTTTTTCATTTTCTTTTATCCACTACGTAGACATTTAAAGAGTTGCAGTATCAGTGTTTCCCTCTTTTCACTATTCATGCCCTTCACCAACAGCCATATCACAGTTAGAATAGAAATGCAGACGTAACATGTACGCCATCCTTGGCATCTTCACTATCAGTCCATATGGGTCTTCAATTGACAGGAAGGAAATAAGAAGAAGTAAAACAACAGGGTAGTACATATGTGGAATAGAGATCATTATTAAAAAGCACATGTAAACTTTACATAGCGGAAAGTGAGAAAAAGGGAAATGAAAAGACAAACCCATTAGTTTGATTCGGACTGCGTACGGAGAAGATGTAAATAAAAAGAGAATAAATAATTAATTAATAACAATATATGATATCCATTGTTCAGTTAATTATTATCTATTCATCCTCTTCAGTACAACATACAGTGAAAAGACAACACAAATGAACCACACAAATAATAATAATGACTACTACTCAAAAAACAAAGTATAGGATTGTACATGGAGAACGAGTACTATCATCTCCAACTACTTCAGAGTCCACTATGGGGTGTTGGATCGCAAACATTAAGAAAAAAAAAAAAAGCAAACAAATGTATACAGAAAAGAAACAATAGTGAATTAGAATATTATAGATTCAGTTATCTGTTAAGGGTGTCCACAACAACACTACACACCATCGCAAACTTTCTCTATTAAACCTTTACTTCTCTCAACTATTCATTGATGGATGCAGTAAAGTTGTATACCTCCTCCTCCATTACTACTACTGCCTCTGTTGGTGGTGGTTCTATTGGTAGATCCATGCAGACCTCACTGTATGGGGGACACACAATGCGGCCACTACTAAAGGCTGAAGTAACAGACGGTGAAATACTATTGCCCTCTTTACATTCATACCAATGATCATCCCCTTTATACTGTACACTCACTTTACCACTCTCACACCTCACATTTGCACAGATATCTCCAATGATTGAATGAATATCAATAGTAGACACATCACGCAGCCGCAGTGCATCTCCTTTCAGACAACGTGATGTATTACCGATACGACTGCCAGGCATGTGGGCCTCACTGCCGTTCTCACACACAGTTGCCGCAGTGGCTTTCACAACAGCACACTCCCTCTTCTCTTCACGGTGTT